AATTTGCAAACCATATTCTTCTGTTTTCCTGAAACAAAGTTTTCTGACTGCACTAAATAGATCGTCTCATCAATATTGCTATTGAGAAATGCCGGATTAACATCCATATGATATAACTTAAGGTCAAAGTGCGCAACAAGTGCTATAATTGTCCTGAAAGATTCTTTCGTTGAAAATGGAGAGAAAGTCTCTTTGAAATCGATGCCTTTCTTTTGGGTAAAGCCCTTAGCCACAAGACGAGCTTTATATCTTTCCACAATACCATTTGAATCTCTATTGGTTTTAAAAATACATTTACAACCAATGGGTTTCACACCTTCAGGTAATGAGACAATATCCCAAACTTTATAGTCTTGCATAGGCTTATACTCCTCATTCATGGTATCAATCCACTTTTGAGAATTATAGCCCTGCATGGCCTGATGGAAATTGGTTGGATTATCTTCCATCATTCCATTATTTTCCTCGTGTTCTTAGAGAAATACTATAAAATCATCTGGAATAGCATTCTTTCGCTCTCTCGTGGATCTCCTTAATAGTATTGGCTCTCGAGGTTATTGACTTTGTACTTCTGGAACAATTCCCTCATTTTGAATGGGAGGTTCTTCAACATTGTTTTGTTGAGGTTCTGGATATGCTTCTTGATCAACGACGGGTATAGGAACCTGTACATTGTCAAAAGCAATAGTAGGAATCGAAACCAATCCTTCCTCAACTTTTTCCTCGAAGATAATGTCTTTAACCTTATTTCTCCCCCCAAACTCAACATCCTCAAAAATTGTTGCGGTTTCCGTTTCAAAAATTGACTTAAGTATAGGATCATAAAATTCATAACCCCTTGATCGCTCAGAATAACCAATAAAATAGCTGCTCACTGTTTTGAAATCCAATTTCTTTTCATGTGGCCTATAAGGCCTTGCCTCAGCTGGACATCTCCAAATGTGAAAATGCTTTAGACTAGGGTTTCTGCCTATCCAAAGTTCATAAGGTGTTTTAGCAGCATGCTCAGTTGGTACTCTATTCAGAATATAAGCTACGGTCTTTAATGCCTCTCCCCAAAGTGATTTTGGTAAGGTGGAATGACTAATCATACTTCTCACCATATCCTTAAGAGTCCAGTTTCATCTTTCAACTACACCATTCATGCTAGGAGATCCTAGCATAGTGTACTTTGGGACGATTCCACATTCCTCTAGGTATTTAGCAAATGGTCTAGGTATTGTTCACCTGAACCATCATATCTGCCGTAATACTTATCACCACGGTCAGACCTAATGTTCTTTATCCTTTTGTTGAGTTGATTCTCAACCTCAGCTTTAAAAGCTTTGAACACGTCCAGCTACTCAGACTTCATGAGATATAGGTATCCATAACTTGAGTAATCATCTATGAATAATATAAAATATTGTTGACCATTGCAAGAAACCGTAGGAAATGGCCCACTAATATTTGTGTGTATCAATTCTAAGACATCTGAAGTTCTGTTAGCACCTAGTCTCTTTGTTTTGATTTATTTTCCCTTGATACAGTCAACATATACATCAAAATATGTGAAGTCAAGGGAATCCAAAATACCATCTAATACAAAGTCGTTCAACTCTAGCTTTTGAGATGTGACCTAAGCGTTTGTACCATAATTTTACTCAATTTTCTCAATTTAATTTGCGTTTAGTACCACATGATTCCACATGCAAGGTCTCATTATATGATGCAATAATATTAAGCAAAAATAGGTTATCATATGCAGATAATGAACTAGTATCAATAACATTGAAATTTAATGAAAAACTAAACTGATTGTTTCCAAATGAACAACAATATCCAAATTTGTCGAGCGAAAAAATAGAAATTAAATTTCGTCTAAAAGACGGCACAACAAAAGTGTCTTTCAAATCCAAGTAATAGCTAGTTCCTAATAATAACCTAAAAGTGCCTATTGCATCAACTTCTACCGATTTGCCATCACTCACATAGATGTATCTTTCACCATCACTTTGCTTTCGGTAGTTTAGAGAGCCCTGCATAGAAATACTTATGTGAGTAGTAGCACCAGAATCTATTCACAAAGTGTTTTTAGGTACTGAAGCTAAATTATCCTCAAAACAGACCAAAGTAAGAATTGTACTTTCTTTGCATTTCATGCGTGATATTTGGTACAGTCCTTCACGTCCAGTCTTATTGCAAAAGAAACAAGTTCCTTTATCTTCCTTTTGTTTCTTTTGTGCTGGACTCTTTGGAGCAACTTCATATTTCTTCTTCTTTTCTTGCCCTTATCCTTAGAAGTGCTTGCCAAATGAGCAGTTTCAGTTATGTCTTGCTTCGACCTTTCTTCTTCCTGCACACAATATGAAATGAGCTCATTTAGAGACTATTTCTCCTTCTGACAGTTATAACTGACCTTAAATTGACTGAACTATGCAGGAAGCGAGATCAATACCAAATGTACTAGCAAGTTATCAGACAGTTCAAGCTTTAGCCCTTTAAGTTTTGAAGCAATGTGAGACATCTCCATTATGTACTCCCTTATGTTCCCCTTGCCGTTATACTTCATCGAAATCAAGCTTTGCAAAAGCGTGCTTGTTTCAGTCTTATTGTTTTTCGCAAAATGTTTCTCAATTTCAGCAAGGAACTCCTTGGCATTAGTTATCTCTTCGGATATTGCACCTCTAAAAGCTTTCGGAATGCATCTGTTAATGATCATTAGACTCATGCGATTTGAGCAATCCCACTTCTCAAAATTCCTCTTTTCATCGGGAGAACTTTATTTCGTAAGAGGAATGAGTTCCTCAATCCGAAGTGTAAGGTCAAGGTCCATGCAATCAAGAACAATCAATATGTTCTCCTACCAATCCTTGAAGTTTGTTCCATTAAGCATGAGAATGGAATTGACATTAGCAGATATTTTAGTAGCAGATGAATTTACAGAGAACAAAAATAAACATGCTCATATCCATATTTAATGAACAATAAATTCAAATAATGGTAAGTCTCATCTCAAGATACCCAGTACAACATTAATATTAAGTCTTTGGACAGTTAATGGCAAGTGGTACTCTCAGTACATTGATCAAATATTGACAATAACTCCTGTCAAATAATAAATCTATCTTTGGATTGATTTATAATTCACATAAAAACCTTATAATTGTCACACATTTACCACCATAGGTGTGTGTAATTTGACCAAGTATTAACCTTCCTTTAGACTGGCTAATACCCGCTTGAAGAAACACACACTACATCTAAACATCACAAACAAACCAATCTACACAAAAAAGGTCACTTTGGTGACATATTGTTTCAATCAATTTATTCAAAATGTTAGATAACTTTAATTTATTATGAATGATTTACCAAATTATTTAAATTTGATTGTCTCACATAATTAATCTTTAATTATTTCTCTAAAAGAGTCTTTAGTATCCTAATTTGAGAAAGATAATCATTAATTTTGCATTATTGGATGCTTTAAGAAACTTTAGGGACCTAGGAAGGTTCCCAATTAGCGTTTCCTATTATTAAGCTGTACATTGTGTAACACTCTTAAAATCATAAATGCAGAGAAGCTATTAATTTTTTTTTAAAACATAATAAACATTAATGAATTTCATCTATGAAAAGAATTTGTGGAAAACTTTTATATATAACAAACACAAGTCAATTAAATTAAAGGTTAACTTTATTTCAAAACAGAGTCAATATTTAAGCGGTTTAGTGCTAAGTTTGTCTTATCTCACCCCAAGTAGATGTTATAGGATTCAAGATAAGACTCTTTAGTCATGGTTTGATTCATAGAGGACATGATAGAAATCCGTAAGAGGGGAGAAGGGTGCAAGTCTTTCAAACCGGACAATATGTGAGAAAATGGCTGAGGCACATGTTCGGGTCATTACAAAAAAGTAAAAATACATTTTTTTGTGTAACATGAACTCATACGCGCTGTTTGTTTTAGGATAGCATGTGTCGATCATACCTTCATGAGTTTTTATCACATCTCCAAGATCCTAATTCTTAACCTTTAACTTAGGTTGAATCCTTATACCAATTGAGCAACTTGCCAAATTGGTATAGGATTTCACTTAAACTTCCATAAGATGGGGAGGTGAAGAGTTGGAATACTGGGAGATGCAGAAGAAATCGATGAAGGGTAAGATAGAGCTCTCCTAAAGTGGACAATATGTATAACGACTTAGGCATAGGCCCCGATCATTACAGCCTATTAGCTAATGTATCGTCACTTATTATTACATTTCGGGTTGTAATGAATGATTTTGTAGTGGAAAAACAACATATTCTCCATATATTAAAAGTAGGGAAAAATTTTGGGTTTACATGCACAATATTTTATTGTAAATGTGATTGAAAATGAGTATGTAAGAAAAAGAGTTTTTAAATAATGGTTGTCAAACAGGGCTAATTTCTGTTATGTATGTCTAATTTTCAAGGATATTGATCATGTTTGGCTGACCTTGAACAATTTGCTTTCTTAAGTTTTAAAATAAATAGCTTCGATTGAGTTGAGCTGTAAATCAATTTTATTCTCAACATAAATTTACATTTTTAATGGAAACCAAGTAACATTTTAATCAAAAGTTGCTCTCAGTTTTGTCTGGTGTAAATTATTGTTAGTTCTTGTTTTGGATAAAATATTAAGTAGCTGAAATTATAATATGATACAAATGAGTGTGAATAAGTTAGTAATTGTAGTTCCTACTAAATGTATGGTTTAAATTATTGTTTGACTTTGAGCGTTAAATTATAAGGAAATTATACTATTTCAACAAACATGCACAGCTTTCATGTTTGCTTTGTTCTGTTTGTACTTCTTGTAGTTGTATCAATTCTCTTATGCATGCAAATAATACTACTCCTAAATCAGTATTGCTTTTCTAAGATTCTTGCAGATCCTTCACTAAGATTCTTTATTTGAAAATTTACCTGTAAAATTATTTTTGCTTCTTGTGTGACTTCTGATGCCTATTATTGATCCTTTGATGTAGATACCTCCAACAAGAGCCAAATCTCCCAACCTTGGTCGGAAAAAGAGTTCGTCTATCACCGACTCTGAGGAAGAGAGTGTTTGCGCAGTTAGGCTAAGCTTGGGTGAGAATTTGTCACAAAATAATCCTGACAAAGGACCACCTGTTGTTCATGCTAAGAAGCCTCTACGTAAGTCTCTTCCTAAGTTGCCCTCCGAGAAAACCAGCTTTTCCAATGAGAAAAGAAAATCCACATCTCGCAAGATCGCTGTTTCCACAGACACAAGTGAAGCTGCAAATGATACACAAATAGAGGAGGAAAGAATAGGCGCCGAGCAAATCTTGAGTCGGCCCAATGGAGATGAAGTGCTTGTTAATGAAGCTCAAGAAGAGAATGTGTGAGCGCTATGTCAATGGTGCCGAAAACTGAATTTTTACCTCGTGAGGAGTCTTCAGTTACCGTCTTTGCGTAAAATATTAAGAAGTTCGAATAATAGAATTCACCCAAAAATACAGGCATGAAAAGACATTGTATTAAGGTTAGCTTGTTTTTTCCCATAGTCAGCAACAAGGTTTGGTTTTTGAATATGCGTTCTAAGCTTTACCAAGTGAGGTCAATTTGTAACCCGAAGTTATAACTAATTATGCTCGCCACCTGATGTCAAAAAATGGAAAATTTTGGGGGATTTCTGCCGTAAAATTGTTGAAGATCAAAGTATTGGCTTTAGGTTTGAGCTTGTTTTGCTTTTGTAAGTCTGAGGTAAACAAATGACATCTTTTGTCAACTAAGGTGTATTTTATTTGTCCGAATTGCTCTTTTTTCTTATCATTTTTTGTCGGGTGCTTATTGCACATCAAGTGCATGTTTGATATATATTGCTCAAGGGACAAAATTTTAGCTTCCCATTTTCTTGTTCAATGATGTCCAATCTAATTTACATTGTCGAACATGCCACAAGAACTTATGCATGATGAAATCTTGTTACTCCTAACTGCAGCCAGCACATGTCGAATAGCTCACTCGGTCGAGTTGGGATACTTTAAGGTTGCCAGCCTTTTCTGATTCTCTAGTTCGTGTCGCCTTTTCTATTAATCTATATAGAATGTGGAATACAGCATGCTCTTTCTATGCTGAGTTATGTACTTCGTCGGCCCTACATATTATCCCTATTGCCTCATAGAAAGTCGGCGAAAGTCCAAAATCAGTATTAGAAATAGCAAATATCACTAGAACTCATTTCTCCATAACGAATGTATCTCCAACATACTGAAGGTCCTTCAAAATAGGGATAAATTGTTCTACATTTACCCCTTGTGTAGAGAATGTTGCCTCAAGTTCGTATTACACATATTTCTGGTTTTTATAATGGTGCTTTCTTTAAAATGGAGTTACTATTAATATTTGAGATTTCATATTAAAAGATCAAACCTTATTATGAAAAGTAGTCCATATCCTTATATATTGATCTATATTTCGATAATTTGTCGATGTAAGATTTATTTCTTAACATGTCCCGTAAAATGATAGCTCATTTAAGTATATCAACCTTAAAATTCAAGTGCTCGTTCTAAGTCTTTATTGGATCAAATTGCTTGTTTAAACCCTCTTTTTGATTCCAAAATGCACTTTGAAATAGTATTTTGATGAAAAATGTATAGTTAAAAAATAAGAAGAAAAGTTGGATTTGCATACAATATTAGTTTATTGAAAAATGTGTGGTTAAAAATAAAAAAGAGAAATATATTTTAAAAGTAACGGGGACCAAACAAGGGCTTAGGAGGTGTTTGATAGTCTTTTTTATGTAAAAATGCATTTTAGAATAGTAAATTGATATGAAATGTGTTGTTGAAAAATAAGAAAAAGTTTTTTATTTACGTGCAATATTATTTTAATAAAGAATGTGTGGTTGAAAAGAAAAGAGAGAAAAATGCATTTTGAAAAAAATGGTTACCAAACGGGACCTTAATAAGGTGTCTTTTTAAAATGAAACCTCAAATCTTAATAGTTACACATATGCTCAGCACGCTAGCCTAATTGCTTCATCATTGTGTAAAGCAAATGACTTCAAAACCTCAAAAACATTTTTACGTAACATTCTTTTTTGACATTCTATTCTAAATTTATTGGTAAACTTGCTCAGGAAAAAGAGAGTTATCATCCAACATGAAACATCCATTCCAGATTAGATTAGCCTCTTCCAAATTGGAAACTTAAACACCAGCTTTGGGTAAAGTTGTTTAAATACCACATTTGTATGGAACACATCCCACTTGAAGGTGCATAAAGACAGCTTCACTAGGTAAAGTAGAAGCACAAGAAATAAAAATGTCAACATCAAGCGACATGGCACATCTTGAGTTCAACTTGAGCTGTCACCTATTTATAAAAAGCGTGCAACAGAAATGTTCTATCCTAACAGGGCACAATTGAAGGTGCATAAAGACAGCTTCACTAAGTAAAGGAGAAGCACAAGAAATAAAAATGTCAACATCAAACCACATGGAGCATCTTGAGTTCAACTTGCGCCGTCGCCTATCTATAAAAATTGTGCAGTAGAAATGTTCCATCAGGACAGGGTTGTTGAATGTGTAGATATGAATCAAAGTAATTTTAAACTATCGATTTAACTGTTACTGATGGTCAAAGACAAAACGGAACCTAAATGGTGTGATCCGTTTTACAGTACCATTCCCACCCAAAGAAAAACACAGCAGCAACAGAATATTCTGGTTGATGGCATTATATTGCATCATAAATTACAGTGTTTGTTGTCAACCAGAAACCTTGAAACTGATAGAATTTAAAACAGCACTTTCGTGCATATGTTTATATGAACAATTCACAGGATTTGTTCATATAGAACCTGCGACAAGAGTTTACAAGAAGAATGCGATGGTTTAAAAATTGTATCTTCTTACAAGTCAATCATAAAGTCCATCCTGCTCCCAGACATCCACAAGAAAATCCACCATTTCCTGTTTAAACCCTGAATAAGTTAACATAGCATGAAAGATAAACTAGAAGAGAAGTAACTCGCTAATGGGTATACTCACAGCTAGAGGGATGGCCTGGCCAAAAGGTTTGCCGGTCCCAAGCACACTCTCATAAGTTGCATTCCAACTGCAAAAAAAAAAAAAAAAAAAAAAAAAAAAAAACCAATCACAAACAATGGATAAGATATAGGTTAAACAAAAAATGCAACCAGACACCTGGAAACACTATTTCTGAAAAAAATGCAGCACTTGAAAAGCTGCAGAAACATTACATGAAAAAAATTATTTTATGTTTACAAATTCAATCTTCAACTAAGAAAAAAAGTAGACAACATTAACAGTTCTCATCAAAAATTTCAACTCGATATAATGCTATCACTTATAAGGTTATAACTCTAATCACTTGTTAATTTTTAAAGCAGAAGGTTGTTTGCAAATAAGTTAATGCTTAGAAGTTTCCGAGAATGCTTATTTACTGAAGCAATGCTTTTTCAAGGCAGACACTCTCTAAACACTCTAACATGCCAGAGACAGGAGCAAATAATAAATAGAAGAAACCATAGTTCGATATATCGTTATCATGCAGCATTTTCACTTTTGCCTCATTTCTGGTCCTAAATGACCTCGCAACACTAAAACCATAAAAGTTGCTTACCATAATTTGGGTTCTAGAGTTTGTACTCGCTTTTCAGATCCCTTATTTCCAATCCACTGGTTTCTTGTTTGATTCCAAAGAAGAAAACCTTCAACAAATAAGTTAACCAAATAATATAAGTAGAAGGCCAAATTGGGAATTGACCAAAATTTATTTGGCATACTGGCATGGTAAAATCCAGAGGAAAGGGGAACCATGCAAAATAATAACAATGAAATCACTTTTTGAAAAATTAAATTCAAGCCATGAATTGTAAAGATACATTTTCTCCTAGGTTTCTATTTATAAGAAAATCAAATCCAGTCTATGTTATCAAGCAATTCATACTTATTCACAAATGACGGACATTCAGGAAAAGTAACACGTAAAAGTTTTCTATATTAGCAACAACACATGTCCAACTTAGGCTCTCTCCTAACTCTATAAAATTATAGATGGTCGCTGTGGTGATGTCCGAAATCCAAGGCTTGCAAAACTAATTTTCTGAGTTCAAGTACCGAAGAAAGCAATATCTCGAGAGGATAAGATAGAAGACACAAGTTCTTGCCATGATTTACAAATTCAGAAGGGTTGCTCGTGCTGCCAGCATTGCTGTGAGTATCAAGTGTCTGATTAGAAGTGCTGATCGATGAGATACTTCTGTGGGATGGAAATGCACTGTTATCCATTTCACCTGAACTGATGCTCCAAAAATCCTCTGTTAAACTACGTTTCTTCACACGTTGACCTTGAATTTTCAGACCTTTGGATGGTTCATCCACAGAAATTACGAGTGGTGGCTTAGTACAACATCCAAGACAACCTCTGCTCTGTTACAAATCAGGTTATTCACCATACTAATGATTAGCATTTAGACAAAAGTTAACAACATATATTAATTACATTGACCCAGAGATGAGCACATTGCACCACAGAGTAAACTTGATTTATAGGTCTGCTCAAGAATTTTGAGTTTTCCTTCTGATTACCTCAATACCATTATTAGCTTGCATTCCCATAAAAATGAATGAAGGTAAACAAAATTTTATTTGCCATAGCAATCTCTTTCTATTAAATCCCATCTTCTATTAACCCATCAAGAGCTTGGCCGAAGAGTAAGTAGTACAAAGATGTTAAAGCTATTTTGTAATGAGGAGACTTGGAGCCGTATGTAACACACTGTTCAAAGTAAGTTTTCAGAAACCAATAATGAGTTTGCTAATAGCAAAATAGCATTCAAAATACAAACACACGTATATTGACAAGACACCATTGAAGCTGTAACCAGAGCAATCTATGGCAAGAAATTTTGGTTAAGGCTTATAGCATGACAAAGGATTCTTGATAAGTTAGTGGCGTGCAACACATTGTTAATTGCACAAAGTC